TCTCAAGCTTCGTCCAGTATTTCTTATACTCAGAGATGTCAGCTGGCGAACATGAAGTTTTTGTGGGTTAGAAGACTCGAAGCTGGCCTTTGCTTCCTTTTTCGCATCAACTCTAGCTCCAGTCTTCCGCACATTGACACTCTCACTCCGAGAGATCGGTCTTATGCCACGCGCAACTCCTGCATGGTGATTCCGCCGCCTCTTTGTACTACATCTAAGCGCTCCCTCTTCTTTGCTTCCAAATATGCCTTCCTTTGGAATAATCTTCCGCCTGAAATTAGATTATCGCCTAGGTTACTGATATTCAAGTCGAAATTACGCAATCATCTTACACCGGAAAGCATAAAGGCACTGTTAACGGTCTCATTCCCGAACACTCAGGTTCTTGACTTCGAGAAGGGTCCTCCTGGGATTTAGTGGTAGATTAAGTGGTAACGCTTAATTATATCATTAGAAACCCCTGTTTTTAATTGGTTTCTAAATCCATCGCTATCCTTCCCCCCCCCACCCCATAGCGACAATTTTCGCGGTTTTTGATGTCATCTCCCGCATTCCGACCTCATGCGGTCTGTCGACGCTCACGGCGGAACCCTCAGTATTCACTGTCTACTAGTAGTTCGGTCGTACCTCCCTTCCTCACTGCTCGGCTGAGCTCGAAGCGTGCTGTGGCCGATCGCATCTCGGTTCCTCTCGTCTGGCCTCTTTGACGCGGCGTACCAATCCGGCCCAGACGATCTCAATTGTGAATCCCGTATACAATGCCATTTGCAAGCCAGTCCTGTCTGACCCACATTCTTACCCATCAAGGCGGACATTTATTGATACCCTGACGATGACCGAAAACATTCCGTTATATACCGCCACCTACAGTTCATGCATCGTGCCCTCACAGAATGCGCCCAATCGATGCTCTTGGCGAAGCATTCTATATTCGCCATACACTAGTAATCTGGTCGCATCTCCTTTGCCCTATCCTCGGATGGACTCTGATGAATGTAACAGCCCGCATCTGGGTTCTTGTCGCCTCGAGACTGGTTGCCATCGTGCCCTTACAGAATGCGTTCTATCGGTGGTCTTGACAAATCCTTCTATATTCGCCATATACAAGTAGTCTGGTCGCATCTCCCTTCCCCCATGTTCGGATGGACTCGGTTGAATGAAACCGACAGCATCTGGATTCCTATCGCCTCGGGACTGATCTTCATGATGCCCTCACTGAATGCGCTCCATTGACGCTCTTGGCGAAGCCTTCTATATTGCCATATACTAGTAATCTTGTCGCATCTCCTTTGCCCTATCCTCGGATGGACTCTGACGAATGTAACAGACCGCATCTGGGTTCTTGTCGCCTCGAGACTGGTTGGCATCGTGCCCTTACAGAATGCGCTCCATCGGCAGTCTTGACAAAGCCTTCTATATTCGCCATATACTAGTAGTCTGGTTGCATGTCCCCCCATGCTCGGATGGACTCGGTTGAAAGAAACCGACCGCATCTGGGTTCATATCAGCTCGAGACTGGTTTTCAATTTCGCCACTTATTTTTCTTATTCAAGGTGATACAGGCCAGTCCTGACCGACCCGCCTACGTACCATTTTATGAAATCCGTTACACAATGCCATATACAGCTGACATTTATTTCGGCCATGTTGATGTCGGACTATATTCCATTCTATACCGCCACATGCAGGCCAGTCCTCCCTGTATTTTTCTGATGCTATTTTTCTGAGGGGTTTTTTCTCCCGTTAAATTACTTCAATCATTTTTAAATTTTGCTTTGGAGTTTTTTTCACCCCTCGTTTTTTCATTTTCATTTTGCTTAACGGACTTCTAATCTCAAAAACCATGTATTGCACTTTGTACAGATTTTGCCTACATCATCTAAAATTCGCATGTAAATTTATTTTTACTTGCTTTGATGGGACCCCGACGGGTCTTTAATAAAAATAATTGAATTGAATTGAATTGAATCACACATTCTGCCCATTTCTAAGCACGGCAAATCTACATCATTTGATGACTTTCGGCCAATAAACACCCTCCCCGCAGTTTCGAAGATCTTAGAGACATTGATCAAAGATAAAATGATGTGTCACTTAACAGTGAATAACCTACTGAGTGCTGCTCAGCATGGATTCCTCAAAGCTCGATCTTGTGACACCTGTCAACTCTCTTTCTTTGACTATGTTCCCCCATCTAGGGACAATGGTTTTGCACTTTACACAGTATATTTCGATTTCACTAAGGCTTTTGATCGTGTTGACCATGCTCTTCTTATCTTGAAACTGTCCTCTTTCGGAATAGGTGGCAAACTTTTGAATTTAATATCTTCTTTCCTGGGCACTCGTACACAACGAGTTAAGATTTCCAATGCCTTCTCCAACCCCACACGTGTGAGGAGTGCATTTAAAACATTTCCTCCCGAACTCTTCGAAAGACTCTTTGGTGTCTTTGTAAGACCTCATCTGGAGTATGGAATGCCAGCAGCCTCACCATGGATGAGAAAGGATATCAACTTACTCGAACAGGTGCAACGCAGAGCGACAAAGATGGTCGACGGTCTAAAGCATTTGTCTTATCAGGAGAGGCTAAATTTGCCTGGCCTATTCCCTCTCTCTTATAGACAAATAAACTGCAGTCTACTCTGGACGTTCCGGATTGTTCGCGGCCAGGGTTGCTCATTAAGGGCAGAGGACTTCTTTGGGTTCGCCCGTACAAACCAACTACGCGGCCATGCATTCAAAGTCGGGAATGAGCGAACACGTTTAGACCGACGAAAATTTTCTTTCAGCCAGCGGGTTGTCAGGCCGTGGAACTCGCTTCCAAGCGAGATGGTGACGGCTGACACAGTTTGTGTGTTTAAAAGAAAACTTGCTCGTCTAGTTTTCGACAGAAATCGGCTTGTACAGCATGACTATGCACAGCCAGTTTTGTAAAATCTGTCATATACAATATTCCGCACTAATTTACAGTGACCCCATGCACTACCTTATGATTACGATTGAACTGTGACCCAATCACATTTTCAATGCCCGCAATTTTATTTTATTTTTGAGTATGAATCTGCGAAAGCAGTGTACATAAATAGGGTCATCAAGGGCTCTGCCTGTAACCCTTCAATATACATATACATATACATACATATACATTCAGGGTAGTGTACTCGGCCCGCTTTTATTTTGCCTTTTCGTTAATGATGTGCCCGATTTATTCCAGAATGGTAAGCCTTTCATGTATGCCGATGATCTTAAAGTTGCATATTGATATAAGCCGGCGGATCGTGACATCGTGCTTGAGCTCCTAAAGATTGATCTACAGAGTTTCGCCCAGTGGTGCCGCACATGGCGCCTTTCTCTTTCTTGGCATAAGTGCTCAGTCATGGTGGTTGGCGACGACCGCCAACCTCAACAAAGTATTGAAGATCACGCCATAAATGTGCCTGGGGTTATTAAGGATTTTGGCGTATCATGCTTCAAGAGTCTCAATCTCTCGGAGCACTGTGCCCTGATTGTCTCCAAAGCACGTAGAACGGCCGGGTTAATCCTCCGAAATTTTAAAACTAGAGACATTAGAATGCGCCTTTACAGCATGTTCGTTAGACCTAGTCTGGAATATGGTTCGTTTTAATTTAGCCTCATGCGTGCTACTGAACGGAAGGAAATAGAATCCGTTCAACACTTTTTTACCAAGAGACATTTAACCCCAGAACACCGACATTTGTCTTACCAAGAACGTTACCGGCTTACGGGCCTTGATCGTTTATGGTTTCGTAGATTACAAAAGGGACTATTTTTGCTATTTAAACTCTTATATAATCACACATTTAACCCACTCACCTCTTTAAGACATCATATCCACCCACGACATAACAGTCACCGTGAGTTTTTCTTATTTCTGCCGCTGGCGCGTACTGTTAAATACCGTCGGTTCTATTCTGTAAATGCAATTGCTATTTGGAATAAACTACCCATGATTGTGAAAAATCTGCAAAATTATCCTTTATTTAAGAGAACTATTACTCGATTTTTGCATTCAGAAAAGCTTCCTCAAATTTTATGTTCTGAATCCACTGGTCGACTCTACCGTAGTGATGTCGTTTGTGGTCTCTGAACACTATGGCCGGTCTCACCAGCTGTTCCTCAACGCCTCTACTTTGACTATCCCCAACTTCATGAAAGGAAATGACGTCCGATGATCTCCGATACCGTGCAACCCCCTCCCCCCCCCCCTTCTTGTCGCTCGAAAATCTACCGCCAGCAGTTTTTTTTCTCCTGAAACCTTCAAACCATAAAAACCGTCATCAACTATATTTTTATTCTTCAGGAGTTTTTTTTTACTGCTGGTCGGAATTGTGTTTAACCGCTTCCCTTGACAATGCCTGTAAACTGGCATTTAATAAATTTAAATTAAAAATTAAATATGGAGTAGATATTTGACCGTTTATCTGGCTCATGCCGCTTATCTGGACAGAACGGATTTATTACACCAAACCAACGCCTTGCATACTTAATGATAATGCGGATGATCATCATTTCATTTTAGGGTTATCGCATACAGGTGGGTGTCCTGGAGTTTCTGTCCTGCATTTTTAAAGACGATATAATGTAAAATGTACGTATTTGTGACAAAATTTTAGCACGGTGTTTATTAAAAGTTAGATATTGCTTGCGCCGATTCCAATACGGTTTTCAAAGGGATGGCCTATTACGCTTAGAATATGCTGACCTATGCTGACCTGACCTAAAACAGTGTTCTCGAGAATGACCTGGTTCGTGCTTTCTACCAAATTCCTATCGCCCAGAGGACGTTTGGAGACAGCCGTCGCCACCCCTTTGGCCTCTTTGACTTCCTACGCATGCCGTTCGGACTCCGCCACGCCTCCCAGTCCTTCCGGAGGTTCGTAGAAATTGTGCTTCGCGACCTACCACTTGTCTACTCCTACATCGACGATCTGTTGATAGGCGGTTCCACCGTCCATAAACACATGTAGCATCTTGCAACGATGTTTGACCGCCTCCGAAAATTTGGCGTTGTTCTAAACCTGTCCAAGTGCGTCTCCGGTTTGCCCTCCTTAAAATTTCTTGGACATCTGGTTGACTCTAACGGCATCCATCCTCTTCCATCGAAGGTTGCGACCATCCGTGATTTCCTTGCTCCCACTTCTAAACGTCAGCTACGGAGATTTCTGAGCATGGTGAATTTCCCCCGCCGGTTCTTCCCGCACAGTACCGACACCATCCGGCAGCTCACAATCATCCTCTCGGGTCTCAAACGTTCGCTCGCGCTGTCTGCGGACGCCCTCACTGCATTTGACAAGGTGAAGGCTACCCTGACCGAAGCCACCCTCCTGACGCATTTTCCTCCCGATGCTCCCATCTCCGTCATGGTTGACGCCCCAATGTTGCAGTAGGCGCGGTTCTGCAACAGCGCCTTACAGGTCACACGCATCCCTTAGCGTTCTTCTCCAGGAAGTTATCGCCTGCGTAGACACACTACAGCACATTTGGACGGGAGCTGCTTGTTGTCTTTCGCCGTGAAACACTTCCACTACTTCCTTGAAGGCAGGGATTTCGCTGTGTTCACGTATCACAAGCCTCTTTCCTTCTCTCTCAAGTCCACTTCTGACAAGCTCAACCCGCGGAAAATTCATCAACTGCACTACATCTCGCAATGTACCTCAGACATGCGCCACATCGACGAGCCAAGCAATGAGGTGGCTGACGCACAGTCAAGGCCCTCTATCGTACATCTCCAATCTTCTCTGGGGATCGGCCTAGCAGAGGGGGCTGTTAAAAAACGCCCTGTTGTTTTTGCCTGTGACGAGGACGTTTCCGGACTCAGACTCCAGGACCTGCCACTGACTACTGGCAATGGCACCATACCATGCGACACCTTCACTACTTCCCGCCGTCCCTTTGTGCTACCTTTCCTCCACCACAAGGCCTTCTCTTTCCTGCAGAACCTATGACCCCTTGGCAGTCAAGCTACCGAAAAGCTGGTTTCCCAATTCTTCCTCTGGTCCAGGATGCACAAGGACCGGGAAGCATGAACATGGGCGTGTCTCAGTTGGCAGCGGAGTAAGGTCCGATGGCACAACAAAGCTCCCATCGGCACCTTCCCCACTCCGGAGGGCCACATAAAGTGCAATTATTGTCTTAGTTTTTTTTTAGTCGGTTTTTAAGGAGTCCCCAGAAGACAATCAGCAGTTTGAAATGGACCGAGACAGCCGGGGGCTTGAAATGCGCCAGGATACTGCCGTCATTGAAACCATCGCCTTTTCCGCCGAAGAAGTGAGACGCGTCCTCGATCAAATAAAACCAGATAAGTCTCCGGGATCCGACGGAATTCATGGAGTGCTACTTAAGGAACTATCAACGGAGCTGTCGAAGCCTCTTTCGACTATCTTTGAGCTGCCAATGAGAGCAAGAAGGCTGCTCTCACACTGGAAGACAGCTAACCTCGTTCCCTTACAAAAGGGAGGTAGCAGTATGGCAGCGGGCAGCTTCAGGCCTATAAGCTAAACTTGCCTCTCATGCAAAACGATGGGAGCTCTAGTAAAGAGCGCTATAGAGTAATTTTACGAAGAGAATAACATCTTGCAAGATTTTCAGCATGGCTTCCCGAGAGGACGTTCCTGCCTCTCAAATCTCCTAGCCTGCCTGGAGATCTGGACCAGGGCTCAAGAAGAGGGTTTTAAGGTCGATGTCGTGCACATCGATTCCCGCAAAGCTTTCGATACTGTTCCACACCAACGCCTTCTTAACAAATTGCGCGCCATCGACATCGGGGGAGATCTTCTGAACTGGATTAGGACGTTTCTTGACGGTCTGAAACAATGTGTCTGTAATTGAGATGATATGTCAGAATGGGTGAACGTGACCAGTGGTGGGCCTCAAGGCACAGCTCTGGGACCATTGCTCTTCACCCTTTATGTTAATGACAGGCCACAGGAACTTGAATGCGGAAAAAATAATGTTTGCCGACGACGTTAAGCTCTGACAAGTCATTAAGAGTCCTTACGACCAGAGAGCCGTCCAAAACAATCTGCGCAGACTGCAAGCGTGGTCGAAGAAATGGCTTTTAAAGTTAAATGCGCAGAAGTGTGCCGTCCTTCATCTGCGTCTAATCAACCCTCATTAAAATGAGAGCCTGAGGACATATCACCTGAAGGATATAAGACTCCCCGCAGAATCTTCACAGAAGGATCTAGGGGTTAAATTACAGAATAACCTGAAATCAACACCACAGCGCCACAAGGCTGCAAAAAACGCCATGGGAATGCTGCATGCAATCTAAAGGGCGTTCGTAACCTTTGACCAAGACCTTTTTGGAAGAGCTTACGGCACCTTTGTTCGGCCCCATTTAGAATATGGCCTAAAAGCATGGCGGCCATGGCTAGTAAAGGACCAAACATGCCTCGAACGGGTACAACGTCGTGCAACAAAACTAGTAAACTGTCTAGAAAGCCAATCCTTAATTTATTCACTCTGAGTTACAGGCAGCAAAGAGATGATCTTTTCCTCGTCTACAATATAATACATGGCTTTGAGCATGGACCCAGCTTTGAGGACATGTTTCAGTGGCACTTTTTACTCAATCTTCGTTGTCTGTCGATGAAGCTACGGACAACAATTTGCAGGCTCAATCTTCGTTCTGAATTTTTCACGCAGAGGGTAGTGGAGAAATGGAACGATCTCCCTCAGTCAGTCGTGGAGGCTACGTCACTGCAACTTTTCAAGAAACGCTTGGATGATTATTTGTTTCCACTGTTTTTCCTCGAGGGGCTGCAACTGAATGAAATATCCCACGACCCCGCAAAATCTTTGCCTAAGACAGTGCTACTCAAATGAATCAAGTACTGTTTCAATAGCGAATATGTTCATCGTTCGTGTACAATTATGTCTAACGAGCTGACATGTAATCAACAGGGTTTTCAAAGGCTTTGCCTGTTATCCTTTCCAAATAATGTGAAAAGAAACTAAACTCGCTGTCCACTTAGTCACTGATATGCAAACACTGCAGGGAAAACGTCATCGTAGTCCTCGATATGCGTAAAACTCGTTTGACTCATTTATAATTTATATTTATATATAATTTTATTTAATGCCAGTTTACAGGCATTGTCAAGGGAAGCGTTAAACACAAATCCGGCCAGCAGTGAAAAAAACTCCAGTGGAAAAGGAATAAAAATATAGTTGATAAAGGTTTTTATGGTTTGGAGGGTTCAGCAGAAAAAACTGCTGGCGGTAGACTTTCGACCGTCAGGGAGGGGGGGGAGGGGTTCCACGGTATCGGAGATTATCGGACGTCAGTTCCTTTCATGAAGTTCGGGAAAGTCAAAGTAGAGGCGTTGAGGAACAGCTGTCGCTGTTGGCCAACGAAATTGTCCCTGGTGAGATCCGCCATAGTGTTCAGAGACCACAAACGCCATCGCTACGGTAGAGTCGACCAGTGGATTCAGAACCCAAAATTTGAGGAAGCTTTTCTGAATGCAAAAAACGAGTAATAGTTCTCTTAAATAAAGGATAATTTTGCAGATTTTTCACAATCATGGGTAGTTTATTCCAAATAGCAATTGCATTTACAGAATAGAACCGACGGTATTTAACAGTACGCGCCAGCGGCAGAAATAAGAAGAACTCACGGTGACTGTTATGTCGTGGGTGGACATGATGTTTTAAAGGATCAAGGCCGGTAAGCCGGCAACGTTCGTGGTAAGACAAATGGCGGTGTTCTGGGGTTAAATGTCTCTTGGTAAAAAAGTGTTGAACGGATTCTATTTCCTTCCGTTCAGTAGCACGCATGAGGCTAAATTAAAACGAACCATATTCCAGACTAGGTCTAACGTACATGCTGTAAAGGCGCATTCTAATGTCTCTAGTTTTAAAATTTCGGAGGATAAACCCGGCCGTTCTACGTGCTTTGGAGACAATCAGGGCACAGTGCTCCGAGAGATTGAGACTCTTGAAGCATGATACGCCAAAATCCTTAATAACCCCAGGCACATTTATGGCGTGATCTTCAATACTTTGTTGAGGTTGGCGGTCGTCGCCAACCACCATGACTGAGCACTTATGCCAAGAAAGAGAAAGGCGCCATGTGCGGCACCACTGGGCGAAACTCTGTAGATCAATCTTTAGGAGCTCAAGCACGATGTCACGATCCGCCGGCTTATATCAATATGCAACTTTAAGATCATCGGCATACATGAAAGGCTTACCATTCTGGAATAAATCGGGCACATCATTAACGAAAAGGCAAAATAAAAGCGGGCCGAGTACACTACCCTGAATGACTCCACTCCTCACACGTGTGGGGTTGGAGAAGGCATTGGAAATCTTAACTCGTTGTGTACGAGTGCCCAGGTAAGAAGATATTAAATTCAAAAGTTTGCCACCTATTCCGAAAGAGGACAGTTTCAAGATAAGAAGAGCATGGTCAACACGATCAAAAGCCTTAGTGAAATCGAAATATACTGTGTAAAGTGCAAAACCATTGTCCCTAGATGGGGGAACATAGTCAAAGAAAGAGAGTTGACAGGTGTCACAAGATCGAGCTTTGAGGAATCCATGCTGAGCAGCACTCAGTAGGTTATTCACTGTTAAGTGACACATCATTTTATCTTTGA